TATATTACCTACTAGCTGTTGCCCCCGACTACGTCCGCGTGGAATAAGGTGAAAGCGAAAAATTCAGACAGATATAGACAGATATCTATAGATACAACGGTGGTAGGGCCACGCAGCAGCCTCGGCTGTGAACAAACCTAAAATCGAACCTGTCGTATAAATCTCAATCGAATAAATTCGCATTATTATAATTAATTATAATTATAATTAATTAAAATGCTAAATTAAATGGTCGGCGCTTGTCCCATAGTTAGCTTGTGAAAATATGTATATAGCGCATTTTAGGAAATTAAAAACGCCATCTAGTTTTTCACGGGAACTAAATTCTTATCTTCTTATCGTAATTTACCTATGCTGGATTGTAATTCTATCATTTGAAGATATTGTTAAATCAAACTTTTTTTTATTATGAAACTGTAAATTCAAGTTATCGTGATTAAAATTTTATCACTGATAGCACATTTTTTATGGAAGGAATTTTTTTTTTGTATTGGGAGCTACGTCATTTGAAAAAACTAAAAACTGTTCCAATTGATCCAGTAGCTAATAGCGTATATATTCTGTTTAAGTAAACTAATTACGATCAAGCGATACTTAAATATTGCGAGGAAGTTGTACTGTCAACCTGTCAAAAACCAAAGCCTAGATATTGCTCCAAGCTTTGCTTAAGTAACCAGTGAAAACTGCATCAAAATCCGATAAGTAATTTTCAAGTTTATCACTAACAGGCAGACAAAAATTTCAAAAATGGTTTTTATGTTTCCTATAACGCTTTTTATGATACCCTTATTCATTTTTTCACAAATATATTCAATGTACAGAGACGCCGATTCTACTCTTTTATTATAGTATAGACTAATCTCTGCACTTAAGATAAAACATTTTTTTTTAGAAAAAAGGACGAAAAATTTCTTGTCGTTGCTTGAGGGAATTGAACCCACGTCTTCCGGATTTCTTTTCTCTACAAATTAATGTCTTATCTATTTACCTACGTAATAAACATTTCATATCGTCATGGGCATCGTTATTCATTTATTCCCATTTTCTTTTATTAACCACATAGGGATTCTAGCCCTTATTCCTACTGGAATAAGTATTCTAGTAGGAATAAAATCGTGCCATACATCATCTATAAGTTTTATGGCTAATCGGTCAATATAAGTTCAAGCTACATAGAAAGATGGAGTGGGGACCGCTGTTTTCTCTATGGACCGGGGCCCTTTTCGACCTAACTACGCCACTGCATAAAACATACTGGTAAATTACATATTTTATTTGTTAATTCTACACGTGGCTTTTAGCAAATTGACTTTGTTCATAGTTTTAATTAACTTCATGTCTACATTACATTGTAACTTTTTTCATTATTTCCCTAGAGCATTTCCCTCGAGATTTCTGAGTTACTTCCAATGTTTTGGTCATCACAAGGTTAGTTTGTATAAAAGTTTTATAATAATTTCTTGTATTTACGCGATTACACATTATAAATGAAACTAATTTTACGGATTTATCGCGTTTATTTTTAATTTTAGTTCCCGACGTTTCGAACCCTTTACAGCGTTAATGGTCACGGGACAGACTGAGGTGTTAGACGTCTGATTGTCAAAGTTAACCCGGGCTACCGTCAGTTTTTGTATTATTGATTTTGTGTCCGATCTATGCAGAGGGAGCTAATTGTATCTTGTCTTGCGTGATTCTTTTGGAGTGGTTCTTTTGGGCTTAGATTTAATTTTATTGGTGATAGGATCCCAAGCTGATGGTAGTACCCAACCCTCTTCTCTATTGAAATTAGGGTGTTTTTTTTTAATTTCAATAGCCTCGCGAATCATCCTCGGGAGGAATCGGTGTTCTTTTGCAAGGATCTGTGGTCTATCAAACCTGATGTAGTGGTTGGGCCGATTTAGAGTGTGCTCACAAACTGCAGACTTGTTTAATCTACTATGTTTTATGTCAGCTATATGTTCTTTCACGCGGGTTTTTATAGCTCTTTTCGTTTGTCCTATGTAAGAGAGCCCACATTCACAGTCAAGTTTGTACACTCCTGGATCTTGCAGAGGGATATTACACTTGACAGATGGTAAAAACTGACTAATCTTCTTCAGCGGCTTGTAGAATGTATTAATTGAAGCCCGCTTTAAGATATAGCCAATCTTGTCGGTGACTCCTCTGACATATGGTAGAACAGCAGGTACTCGCTCCACTGTGGCTGGTTTCACTCGGTCACTGTGACGTAGGCGCGGTGCTCGAAGTTTGTTGTCATGCAGAACTTTAAATCCGTAAAATTAGTTTCATTTATAAAAGTTTTATTCTTGAATAATTAGTAAAATACAAATGAGAGTACCAGAATATTTTTGGTTGATGTGAATTAAAAAAAATATGTGATACGAAGTGGTAAAAATTGTAAAATTAATTCAATGCGTAAAAACAAAAATTAAATTTAAGTTATCATATCCTCAAGTACAAACTCGACACGAAAACGTTTTCATTTATAAAATCTTTAAAAGTTTGAGTAAAAGTTTCTTGCCTTAGACATCAGCCCATGGTGTTTACATAAAAGAATACACAAATGACATGTTACATAATAGAATACAGTATAAAATAAGGCATTCGACAAGGTCTGGCACAACGTTATGCTTTACAAGCAGTACACACTCAAAGTGCCAGATATGCTCGTACACACCCTGGAAGAAAAAGGTCAAATACTTAGGAGTCACTTTCGATGCGCGTATGTCATTTACTACGCACATTAATAATGTTCAGTGGTGTTGTCGAGCCGGAACGCTCCAGAACTTCGTTCCGGTACTTCCTTTTTGGACAGGAACGCGTTCCGGAACTAAAGATGATTTCTGATAACGAGAATTGGCTGACGTATTGAAAAAAAAATTAAAAAGAATTGCTGATTTTTTTTTCGAATTTTTTGAAGATTTTTTATATGTATTATAATAAACAAGGGTTTGAACCGAACCCGAACCGGAACGAAACAGCTTGTTTTTCCGAACCGTGAACCGGAGTCCGGAACGTTTTTTTCTGCTGAACCGGAACTCAAAACTTGGTTAAGGTCTCATCGTTCCGCGACCGCACAGAGCGGCCGCCTGCCCAGGATCGGCCCTGTCTATATAATTATATATACGCGTTCCGGTAAATAAAAAATAGCACACCACCACTGATAATGTTCGTAATAGAGCCGCATTCGTCTCCGGCCGTCTACACAATTTAAGTAACGCTAATAGTAAAATGCCCTTAAGGCACAAATTATTATTCTATAAGATCTGCGTACGACCTATTATGTCCTACGCATGAATGACCTTCGCCCACACGCACCCTACTCGCTTGTACAAGTTGCAAATAGTACAAAATAAGTTCATCCGCCGCGCAACCGGTGCGCAGTGGTATCAACGTAACGTCGATCTGCACAGCGATTACAAACTCCCGACGATTCGCGAATATTTTAAAGACCTGACGGGGGCTGAGATACGTTGGACCCACCGTCGGGGATAACACTACACCCACAGCTAGTGTAACAACAAACACAATAGTTCGCCCTCGACTCCGGCGGCGAGACCAACACAACGCGTACCCAAGGTACACCCGCGTTCCGGGGCGGTTCTCACCGCCCCCAGCCACCGATTAACTAAAAACACAGTCGACGGCCATCGGGGTCCCGGTCCGAACCGCAACCTCGATAGCCCTTAGATGACATACCATAGTTAAACGCACGCATGAGCACATTCGCAGCCCTACCCACAGCGGAGGGCCCAAACCCGTAGGTTTTGGCTAGTCCGTCGGTTCTGCGTCAGATGAAGCTTTAATAGTCTCGGGACTGAAAGCAAAAACATCTGTTAATACAAGAATACAAGAAAGTATATAATACTAATAATAGTAACGGGATTTGTTTACTACTAATTATTTGTCCAATTGAAAATGATACAAGTGTGACCTACGACAGGACTCATCTTCGCTTCAAATTTACATTATTGCTATTTGATAAATAGCCATAATGTAAATTTACGGTGGTAGGGCCGTTACGGTGGTAGGGCCACGCAGCAGCCTGCAGCAGGCAACTTTTCACATAAAAAAGGGCATGTTAAATGACACTTAAACATAGTACACATATATCATTTATATATACAACACCATTCTACTAAATTCATATTGCTTGGTACAAAATACCTAGTCGTCGGGCTTGCGAACTGAAGTCTAGTGCTGTAGTATAGTCAGTTTAAAAGACCAGCCAAAACATCTGTTTAAAGCCAAAATAGTATTTTACATCGCGGCCGCAGTTACACCGTTTTCTTTGGAGTTCTTGTCGTTCACAATTTTAGAAAAAGATTATATTTTTGATTATTACAATTTTCTTCATAATTTTTTTTTACTACAGATAAATAGTCTTATTATTGAACCATATTAATTTCTTTAGACTTTGTTGTAAATGTGTAAGTTAAAAAAAGTATACGACAAAGCTTATAGTTTATTTATAACTCATTGATATCCATAAACTGCTGCTCTCACTGCTGGCCGTATGAGGAGTCTCAAAGTCACTCAGCGAGCTATTATCGGTATTTCTCTGCGGGTGAGTCCGCAATTTTGACATCCGCACAATCCGACAATCCGACAAAGGTTGCCAGCTTAGCTCAGAAGATTAATAAGCTTAAGTGGCAATGGGCCGGCCATATAGCTTGAATAATCAATAACCAATGGGCAAGAAAGGTACCCGAGTGGCAGCCTCATATTAGCCACCGTAGTGTAGGACGGCCACCAGATGGAGTGACAACATGTGCAAATGTGCAAGAAGCTGGTGAAAGAATTTGCAGTTTACCAGTTTTAGTTTCAGAAACATTTTCATGGTAAGGAAACTAAAAAAAAAAACAACAGTAAATAAATAATTAAATATTTATGAGTTCATGTAAATAGTACATTTAGCTGTTACATATAATTGTGTATCAATTAAATGTATCTTATTTATTGAACATATATAGGCTTGATTTAAGTTTTCTTTACTATACTAATCCTTCTCGTTTCTTCCATTCCTCTTTCAATTTAGCCAGTTTATTTTTCTTGTACTCTTTTTTTTTCACTTTTACTTCTCTTAAGCGCTTCTTTTGGGCTTCTATACTATCTTCCCCGTTCAAAATCTCATCTAATTTACCAATCAACATTTCTCTAGCAAGTTTTCTGTTTTCATCTTGACATCTACTTATGTGGCATTTGACAACTGTGCCTGAAATAATAAATTGAAATATTTACATGATAACTTTTTGGCAGTGGTGCTAGCAACAAAGTTATTATGAATTTGTATAGATTAATTGATTTGTATAGATTAATTTGAGATATAAGGGCCCCAATCCGTGGGTTCTGGCTAGCACACCGGTTCTGCATCAGATGAAGCTTTAATAGTCTCGGGACTGAAAGCACAAACATCAGTTAATACAAGATAGTTGTGTTCTCACACTCACTTATAATTTAGCATAATCAAGCAACCAGATTTCAGCCCATGCAATAATAAAATTAGTAATTGCATTTGTGCAGACTTCTCACATACTTGGCAGTAAAGGAAAACATCAGGTGGAATTTAGCATATTTTTTAAATAAAGACAAAAAATATTTTGAAGATGTCACATCTGAATTGAGGATATATGGTGGACTACACTCTAATACTCTCTTTACAGAGGTATTGGCTACTGCCTAGCAGTGGGACATTAAGTATAATCTGTTAGTTTTTTTTATAAAATCACAATGAAATACCTAAGCAATCAGATTGCAGGGGAGACATGACTTAAAGAAACGAATGACCAAGATTGTTGCAATGTTACTAATATTAAAAACTTGTACACAAGAGGTTAGAGTACTTATTTTAAATACCTGTGGGACTGTGTGTCAAAACTACACAATTAGCGTTTTTATTTACAGCAGAGCCCCCTGGTCCTCCTCCTCTGACGAACTGTTCGACTAAATCAGACTCGTTGATTTTAGGCACCCGAGAATAGTCAATGGTATGTTTCAACAATACAGACATATATTGCATATGGGTAGCGCGTAATTTCAAATGTACACCTAAATTTTTTAAAGTAAACATTTTTACACTACAGATCCTCTTCGGAGAAGAGCTTCGCCCTTCTGAAAAGTAATAAAACATTTTTTTGAAATTGTCTAAAGTTGTTGTTGTTGTTGTTGTTTGAATAAAATAATTTAACAAGAGGAATTATTTTACATGATCCTGCATCTACAGTACTCTTTTAAGCAAGATGCAAGTATCGTACCAGTTAGTTATTACATAATTAGATTCCATTAAATGTATACCAATGTAGGTGTACCTTATAAGCAAAACTAATTTCTTCAGGTTTAGATAAGCTTTTGTTACGCCTAAACTCAGTTGAAATTCGTTTTCTGAAATATTTTACGTCTGTCAAAGTAAGTGTTTTGGAGTATTGCATTAACTGTTTATATAAATTAAGAACTTCTGATCTTGTTACGGACATGTTTATTATAAACTCGAATATATCTGTTATATCTAGTTTACAGGAACAAATGTCGAAAATTAACTAGGCATGGGCAAAAAATATCGAAACATAAAAATATCGATATTTTTCCAAATAAACATCGATATATATCATCGATATTTTTATTCCCGATATATCGTTATTTATTTTTGACTATCGGAGTCGTGTCAATTTCGATATATTTTTTAACGCAACGCAACGCAACTCTGATTTGTTGTTTATTGTAGTGCTTGCATGATAATACATTTTTTAATAAAGATTATATGGCCTGGTAACAAGACCTTTAAGCTAATACCATGAAAATACTAGTTACTAATACAATTAAAAGAATGATGATGAAAATACAATTAAAAAGCTAAAAAATACAATTAAACCTTCAGAGTGAAATGTATATGATCATGAAGTTAACAAACAATTAACAATTTTCGGATCTTTTTGTTAACAAATCAAAAAAGTTAAACAAAAAAAAATAATTGAACATGCAGAAATTTAAAAACTAAGTACAATTTTTTATTTATTTTCTTTTATAATTTATCGATATAATAAATTGAATTGAATTGATATATCGATATAAAAAATTGAATATCGAAATCGTATCAAAAAGATAATTTTATTCAAAGCCGTAAAAGAACCAAAAAAACTGTGGCCTATTACTAGTATTGTCGTGGATGCAGAGTTGCTTGCATTTTGCACTATAATTATGGTATTTATACTACAATTTGATGCTTCGTACTTCATACTATCCATATCCTAGGTACAACATGGTATAGAGGTGTATGTAATTCAACATTAATGATTAAGTATATTAATGAGTATTAATATATAATAATATATTCGATATTAATGAGTAAGTAATATAAGAGATTTCCACCGATAAGTAAGTAAAGTAAAGTAAAGTTTAGTTTTGATTTATTTAGTATATAAATTGATACCGATAATTGACTCGTCACGATATCTCTGGAGCCATAAGGCGTAGAGACTTGAAATTTGGTAGGAATATTCCTTTCGCCAAATAAAGGTCAGCTATGAACGGATTTTACGAGATTCCACCCAATTATTTATTGGTACATGTATAGCTTGTTATTGATATGGCAAAACAACGTTTGCCGGATCAGCTAGTATTATATATAATTTATATATGTTTATTTTTTTATTTTATGGCCTCGTATCGAATACCTTTAGACCATACATCTTCTATATATATAAAAATATCGTGTCACGATGTATGTTCGCGATAAACTCCGAAACTGCTGAACCAATGTTTATCTAATTTTGTAAGCATTTGTAATTTGGTCCAATGTCCAAAATGTTTGAGGCACATCGCAAGTGGGTTTAATGTGAACTTCAAATTGAGATTCAACTTCAGATATGGGCAGATTAAATTTTGGATCGCATTGTTTCTCACGTTCTTCCTCCCTTGCTTCTTGCATTTTATGATTGTCTTTCAACAGAAGATTCTTCAAAAACTTCAGGTTCCTCGAGACCAATAGATTTAATGACATTTTCATTGAACTGAACATCTCTAGATCTGATCAAAATATATTTTAAATTTTGTTAACGTTTTAGAAGACGGTAACCATCATCTCCATCACAGCCAATCAATATACATCTTTCAGCTTTCTTTGACATCTTTTTGCGCTTCTGTTTAGGAACATGTGCATAGCATTTTGAGCCAATTATTCTCAGATGTTTGATTGATGGCTTCTTATTAAACCAGAGTTCATATGGAGATTTATTTGGTACTGGAGTAGGTCCAGTCCTGTTGAGGTTGTACGTCGCAGTTGATATTAAATCAGCCCAGGTGGCAACAGGTAATTGTTGAGCGTGCATCATACTTCTGGCGGCCTCGACTAATGTCCGATTTTCACGCTCGCTGCTTCCATTTTGTTGCGGCGTATACGGCATTGTAAGTCTTTGAGATGTACCTTCCTGTCGAAGTATTTTTCTGACTTTCTTATTGTCAAATTCTCCTCCATTGTCCAAGATGATCTCTTTAACTGAATATCCGGCCACTTTGTATTCTTGTAGTACTTGCTGTAGTTTCAAATGCACTTCAGACTTATGTTTGATACAGAATACGTGACGATATTTGGTAAAATCATCTTTGATCAGTACGAAGTACTTATTTTTGTTGAAGGATTCCGGAAAAGGTCCACAAACGTCTATATGAATGACCTCTCCTGGTGTCTTGGTTCGTTCTCTAGTCCCAAATTTCCGTCTGGGCATTTTTCTATAAATACAGTCAGTGCATAATTCAGAATCCATATTAACTTCGAGTCCAAGCTCGTGTTTAATAACCTTCTTAACATGACTTTTACTTTGGTGGGCAAACTTTTCATGATAAAGATGCAGAATGTTATCAGTTACTTCAACAGTGTTTAAGTTAGGAGCGATGTATGTTAAACATTGAATATTTAACTTATACAGCCCTCCGTTCTTCACTCGTTTTCCAACTAATTTAACTTTGCCGTTCACGTTAACAAACTTCTCTCTTTGATATGAATTTGCTTTTATCTAATATGTCTTGTGCAGCGATAACTGAGAAGAGATTTCTTTTAATTTCAGGAACATACCAGACATCATATAGTCTAATATTTAACTTTCTGCCGTTTACAGTGGAAATTATATCAACCGCTCTTTTGCAATCGCTTGAATCGTACCACTTGCTGTTGTAACTGTGTTATCTTGTTTGAAGTATTTAAAAGAGGCAAAAGTGTCGTTATGAAAGATGACGTGATGAGTGGCACCATTGTCGACATACCAGTTATTTGGATCTTCAACTACAGTATTCATAGCTTGGCTTGTCGATTTGCATTGCCTAAAGATTCATTTGGTTGGTATTTTGAAAGACTGTTGGCTTGGAAGGTCTTCCCGCAGAAATCCATTTTGAGCAGCTCTTTATTTTATGTTCAATTTGCTTACAATATGGGTTTCAGCTTCTTTCCTTTCAGTTTGACATCATCTCTATTGCTTGAAGTCACTAAAGCTTTAGCAGCAGTGTCTTCACTTTTGCAAAGTAATGCTTTTTCATGTGCACACAGTTGAGATGTAAGACTGTCTACAGTACGATTCTTCTTCGACAGTAAAATCCAACTCGACTTGAATGAGAAATAGGCTTCCGGTAATGGGTTAAGTATTTTTCATATTAACAATATATCCGGGAGATCAGACTTCTCATCTTTCGCTAGTTCAGTCTTCAATTGAAACCAGAGGTTCTTGATCTTAGACAGATGTCGTGTTCAGGATTCTTTTTGTAACTGAAGAATTGCATACATAAATCATACGTTCGATCTTCGGAAGTTCCATCATAGAGGCGGCGAAGCTCGTGCCATACTTCTTGAGCAGTACGAAATCTCATAATTTTCTGTACATTTTCATCAGAAATATTTTCTGTGAGTACCAGCTGTACTGCGCAGTGATTTCATGTGTACTGTGATTTCATGATACTTCTTAAGAGCTTTTTGATAAGCAGCCCTTGCTTCCTCTGACGCAGCATCACTGTCAGATAGCACTGGTTTCTTTAAGGTACTGTGGCGACTCATTTGCTACTGTGTAGCACCGCTCTTATCTTTTACACCCTTACTCTCATCGGTCTAGCATTACCCTATTATTGACAAATTTCTATAGCAACGAGTGACAATAAAAAGATTATGTTTTTCTCAACACGGCTTGTTCTTTGTACTGCATCTTAATTATTCCCTCCTGCCGGCTCCCAAACTGGTGACCCCGACGTGATGTGATAAATATGCGCAACATCGGAGCCCACGTCGCTACGCTCTGCAGTTTCGCTCGGAAACAACAATTTCCGCGATAATCGAGGTTTGTTCCATGCTGCGACGCCACCTAGGTACACTTCCTTCTTTTTGTTTTTCCCTCCGTGCAGAGAAGTCTGCTAGGGAGACTAGAAAAGCCACCTGCGAGTGAGACTATGGTATAGCCTGCGAGGGAGATTGTACAGAACAGCCATGAAGCTATAATCGCAACAACTGTAAACGCATCTACGATAATCTACATCGCTATTGGACTCGTATTTTGTCCATTCTATGTAGCGATGAGCCGGCATTTTTCGCATCGAGGCCGGCCATTTTTCTTTCTCTACCGGAGCTACGTCATTTTTGACGAGGAGGAAGTTGAAAAGCGCGCCACGCGCGGCAATCACCCGCAACATTGTGTCAGGTGACTAACAGCTCTCCACTGATACTTCGCGACGGATGCTGCGTTTACACTCGTTCAAGTGAAAGTTTAGTGCTATTTTACACTTAAGATAGTATCATTTTATGTTGTATTTAGACTTACTTTACTTTTCTACCAATTTTATTATTACGTTTGCTGCGCAATACTGAAATTGTTTCGTTTGTGTATTTACCGATTTGTTCCACTGCGTGTATGTGTAAAGCGTTTTTTGCGATTTGACCGTTTCTGATTTTACCTTTAAACCATGGCGAGTCAAGGAGAATCTAACGTTTCAGAGGGCCACGTTGGCAACGAGGGTGATGCTACTGCACTAGTCAGTGGC